TTAAGGTGCAAATGTTTTTTTTTTTTTTTATATTTTTTTCCATTTGAAATTCCATTTCAATACATACTAAAAAGGAATACTGGAATCCTGGAAAATTATACCAGGCAGGTTTAACAAACAAGTTACATGGATAGTAAAACCCTCAAGAACAGGGGTCTTCTATGTTTTCCAGACCAAGGACCCCCAAACTGATGGCGAGATGGAGCGGGGACCCCCTAACTATATATATTGTATGAAATTGTGTCCTATAGTCACTCTATTACAGATGGAGTAATGTAAAGAAATTAATTTCTCCCTGGGATTATTAAAGTTTTTCTGATTCTGATTCCTGGTTGATGGGACAGGTGTTGTGAAGGAAATGGTGCCCAGCTTGAAAGAGCTCCTGTGTGTCGCTGAATGTGAGCATTGATGACTGAAAGACATCTTCTGCCTCCATTTATCTGTTTACTACAGTGTGTTGATTTCATGTTAATGAGTATTTAAAGACATTTCAATTAGTGGGGGAAAAAAATGCAGCGGGGGAATATAAAAATATCAACTAACCATGCAGACCCTCATGCAGTACCTCCGTAGACCCTCTAGGGGTCGCGGATCTCCTGTTGAAGACCTCTGCTCAAGAAGATTTTACAAACACAAACTGAGGGACCAGGCTGAGGTAGGAATTTAAAGGTTACTGAAGTGCGGATTTTTTTACTGAAAGCCGGCGGGCAAACTTGTTGCCATCATCCTCACCGACCACCTGGTCATAAACCTGTTTTAAGTCGCCTCCGTGCTGCTTTGGCTTCCACGCTGCATTTTGTTTTGATGACGCACGCGGCTGTAGGCTACGACGCTGGTAGCTGCTGTTGCCAGATTGGGTGTTTTTCCCGCTACATATTAAGGCTTGTTTACGGTGTGATTTAGCTGGGGTTTGGCCTGGAGGGCTTTATAGAAATCTGGCAACCTATTGAACGGAGTTGAACTGAGAGAGCGTGCCGTTCACAGACACCAGAATGAACGAGTTCACAATAACGTTCATCAGGCAATAATGCAGTACGTTCAGTTCACGTTCGCCCAAAATATGAATGAGTTCATGAACTTTCGTTCAATGAACGCGTTCAGGCACAACACTGGCTAGGGATGCACGATATTGGGATTTTGGCCGATATCCGATATTTTAAAACTCATGTAGCCGATAACCATTATCGATACCGATGTTAAAGCTGGACAAAAATAAGTAGTCATTGAAAATAGCAGTTTTGTTATCCATTTCTGACACTTTGAAAAATAATATACTCAAATATATTTTCATATGCTGATATCAAATAGATTTTTAAAAACGCGGTATCGATCTATTTTACTTTCAAAATCTCATGAAATTTCATCGTTCTGTTACAAACTCTCGTGATATTTTGCAAATTCTTGTGAGATTTTGTTAGTGAAATAGATCGATACCGCGTCAATATATCAACATATAAAAATATGGCAAAATTTCGTGAATTTTCGGGGGATTTTTGAGGAAGAAGTAGTATTTTTTATTTTTTTTTAGACTTTAGAAACTCAGAAGCTGATCAAATATCAGGTTAAATATCGGTGGGGTGGCCGATGTCCGATATTCAGTTTTAAGGCCGATACAGGCCGATACCGATAGGGGGCCGATTATATCGTGCATCCCTACAAAAGGCAACTGTAAAAGGTGGCCCCGTCCAGGAATAACGTGGCCAGGCAGACGAGCTTCAAGCCACCTCCCATGTCAGAGGACGAAGAGAGCACATCCAGTTAGTCACGGTCAGAGAAACAGGACTACACTGAAAAACTGGCCGATCTCCAACATCTATAAACAAAGGTGTTGATGGCAGCTAATCTAACATATATCTTCTCCCCACACCAATCATTCACTTCCCCTTTTCCATTTCAACACTTATCGCTTTGTTCTTTGCTCATTCCCTTTTCTTCCTTCCTCACCTTTCCTTCGTTCTGTTCGTCCTCTCCTCCTCATACCTTTCTGTTTCTCCTTTCCTTTTGGCGATGTGGCAATAAGAATAATTGTCTTGATGCCAAAAAGGGCCCAACAGATTTTACTTTCACAAGTGGAGCAGTACGGTGTTCTGCTTGATTTATGCTTGATCTATGCATATAAATAGCTTTACTATAATTCAGGCAGGGAGTATTACAGATTTTATGGAAACTGCAATGTAAATAGAACAGGAAACGAAAAACGAAAGGAAAGCATGAAAGAAACAGTAGATAAAAGGGGAGAAAGTGTTTCTCCTCTCCTTTGCCGTCACCCTCTGTGTGCCAGCCTGTGCACCGCAGCTGCACCCAGCTGGCAGTCCTCGCTCCGCAGAATTAATGGTTCCATTATCCGTCTGTTTCTTTTCAGCCGCTTTCACACACAGGGCATCTGTCATGGCAGGGCCGACCCACACACAGGAACAATCACAAGGTACATTTGAAGAACTTTTTAGGTCTAAGTTGAAAATCCTGCCTTAATGTTAAAATAAAAACTTAAAACTTGTTTTAGGAGTAAATCAAAAGCCCATTTTTTTGTTATTAAAATGTATTTACATTGATAAACCATCCAATATTTTCATCTTTACTATTATATCAGCATTAAAACATCATTATATTAAATTACATTTTTTTAAATACAAATATTATGAAAAATTCTGGAATCATATCAAGATAAATGACAAAATACAGACTAGGATTGATATTTTTAATTATTATAAGCTATGAGAAATACAGGATTTGTAGATGTAGAACGGATAGATTTCTTACCTTCTGTGGGGGGGAGCCCACGGCCATCTCCACGTAATATCCCTGCCCGGATTTCCCACGCAGGTTGTCGATCATGTCCACAAAGCTGGCACCACCCTCCGCGGCTCCTCTCCGCCTGCGCGCCGGAGAAGCGCTCGCGGCGCCGCGTCTCCAGGCAGCGGCAGGCGGCTCAGCGCGCGCACCTTGCCGCAGTGGCACGCGGATGGCTCGAGACAGGCCCGGAGAGTCCGGCGCGGGTTGCCCGCAGCCCAGCAGGCACAGCGCGGTCCATAAGAAGAGCGCAGTGAAGCCGCGCGGCTGCAGCGGAGCCTCCATGTTTATTAGTAGCCGTTAGAATCTCTGCTGTGTCTGAGTGGCGGCGCTGCGCTCAGTTTGGCATCAGGAGCGAAGCGGCGCTGGAGAACAGGTCAGGTGGGGATGATGCTAAAACCATTATGGCAGTTGACCCACAATACGGAAAGGCACAAGATTCGGTCTGATTGGTCTGTTTTTAAGGTGAAATTAAATCATTTATTCAATTAAATCACGCACTAACCACAACCGTCCTCACAATTAACGCCCAGCTCCGCTCGCTGCATTAATCACGCGTCGGTGTATGAACTGACCGCAGGCCTGGGGCTCTTTACCCGGACATCTTGGTGCTAAACAACCGAAAGCATCGTCAGAAGGCAGACTGACCGGCAGGCTACAGTAATCCGCATCCTCCCTGTTTTCCGTCCAGTTCATGCTGTTCTCCGCCTTCCAGTCTTTCATCTCCTCCTCCTCCTCCTCCATCTACTCCGCCGCATCCTTCAGATCTGCGAAGAGGCGGGCATCAGAGAGGGTCAAGCTGAACTACAAATACAAACTGTTTCCTGGAGGGATTTTCAAAATAAAGTGCCTCTATTAAGTTGCTCTCACATATTAATCCACAAGTTTTCAATTTCAGTATAATCAAATTTGACAACTTCAACACTCAATACTACGAAAGAGGATTTGGGTCACTGAAAAAATTTTTAAAAAGTTAACTGATTTTTAAATTCTATTTCAGTATAATATGAGAAAAAAAAAGTCAAAATATCGACTTTAATCTCAGATCTTAATGTTACAGAAGAGGATTAGGGCCACTGAAAAAAAAACTGCTTTTTAAATATTATTTCACTTTAATATGGGGTAAAAATTCAGAATTCTGACTTTAATCTCAGGATTTTGGATCTTAATGTTACAGAATAAGATTGGGGCCACTGGAAAAAAAAAAGTTAACAGATTTTAAAATATTATTTCAGTTTAATAATGGGGGGGGAGAATCAGAATTCTGGGGGGGGGAAAGTTAAATGATTTTTGAATATTATTTCACTTTAATATGGGAAAAAATCAGAATTGTGACTTTACTCTCAGAATTTTGGATTTTAATGTTACAGAAGAGGATAAGGGCCAGGGAAAAAAAAGTTAACTGATTTTTAAAGTTTATTTCAGAATAATATGAGAAAAAAGTCAGAATGTTGAATTTAATGACAGAATCCAGACTACATGTAAGATTAAACGTGTAATTTAGTCTGGCCCCAATGAATGAGACATCAGAAGATTGTTGATGAGAACAACCCATTGTTTTTCAAACCATGTCTGTGCCTATTGGCTAACGCTCTGACCAATGAGCGCAACTCATTGTGCCGTAATAAGTGTGACAGAAAGCTGGTGGGGGAGTGTAAACAAACAGCCTGTCGGTAAAACGACGAATACATACTTTTTAAAAATGAATGAGCGTAGAGCCTCTTCCTGCTCACGTTTCAACGAAAACCCCAAGTCTAATCCTTCCAAAACTTATACCAATGCTGAGTCAAAAATCGCCATCAGAGAGGGCCGCTGCATGCTGGCTGCTGTTAGCCCTGGCTGCCGTTAGCCTCGGAGCTCCGTTGGTTGCCGTGTTCCTCTCAACTTCGGAAATTGTTTTTTTAATTACGCATTAAATCGGTAAATGGACCATATAGTGACGCTTTAAAGTATAATATTATCACCTCAAGTGATCTTTAAATGTACTTTTATTGAACAACAGCAACAGAAAAAAGAATTTTTAACTTTCAATGGGCCGCTCCCTTGAAAGCTGCTGCTACCGCAGTGCATGCTACTGTTCAATAGTTGTTGCCTTCCTTTCTTGTTGTGTTTTCTCCAGCGTCGCGCAGCTTTGTCGTCACAACTTCAAAACCCCGCCCGCTTTGCATCCAGAAATTCAAAACAGATCTCTACGCTGTGATTGGCCCGCCAGTTCTAGGGCCTGGGGCATTGATCGAGGCTGGACCAACCGCAGGCAAAAACGATTTTGGCCGCTGGTGGGTGGGGCTAGTTTACTGGGCTACATATAAATAGCTTTACTATAATTCATCAGAGATGGGAAATGTGGAGTCAACAAGTCATCTCCATGTCATGTATTTAATCTACCCAGCCAATTAACAAGGTGAGTCTAATCTGCACAGGTTGATTCACAGTGAAGATTGGAGTCACCTGCTTTTTTAGGAATGACCATGACCTGGATGACTGAGAATCAAAGGCATTGACTTAACAGCTAATTAAGTTAGACAGAACATAGTGATGATGATGTCATAATTTTTACATTAAAAAGATAAAAACATTCAAACTATTATGCTATTAGCTTTTGGTGAATTGAAAATCGTGCAACAGTTTTTTTCTCGCCTTTTATTTTGAAAGCAAAATGATGCTCCGGCTCTCCCCTCATTTGAATGAAACGTCAAGAAAGCAAATTATCATGGGTAATGAAGTCTTTAAGGTAACTTGTACTCATTCCCCCACTCTCTCTTTGATAGACAGTTAGAGGGACGCATTTGTTTCCTCTTCACTCTTAATATTTCATTACAAAAATCCCAAAAGCAACAACATTGACTTCATTTAATTGTTTTAATTGGTTCTAAAATGCTAAAACAATACAACACCAATGTATTTTTTATTTGTTGTGATGAAATAAAACTCACTTATGTGTCTAAGTGGTTTAAATAACTGTTTAAGTTATAATAAAAGCTGTAAAGTATTATTTCTCCACTTTTTGAAAGGACAAATAAATAGTTTAAAGGATCTTTTATCTATAACTACCATAGGCCTACACAATAATGTGACAAGAAAAGAAGCAGGACACCTGGGACCTAATTAAGACACTTAACCTTTTTATTTATTTTATATTACTTATTGATATTCTGATGAGGTGGTCCAGCATAGTCCCAGTACACAGGGATGCTAAGGAAATTTGCAGGAGTCATTGAGCCGTTCCCATCCTTGCTCTCCATGTTGAGCTCCACTGTGTCCTCCTTATGGTGAGGCAGCTCACACTCCTGCAGCGTCACACAACAGAACGTTTTCTGTCCTGTAAATCAAGAGGAAATTGCTCAAACTGTTTAGTTTTTTCTGTATTTTGTATGTTTAATCCAAATCTGCACAGATTTGATATTGCCTCTTAACATTGCTTATAACCCTAACCCTTTTAAATTATAACTAATATAAGTATACTGCTGGATGAATCATGCGACTTTAAGTAAGTTCAATTCTACATTGAGTTGAAATGTTATATGATGCAAAACGCTCACTGGTTGAAGAGTTTGAACAAGTTCCCTGCTCTTTAGGTTTGGTGGAAAGGGGCTCTCTACTGCCATCTGGTGGACAGGATACTACAGGGTAACTTGCAGTACCCTCCCTGCACACAAATGTAAGTACACACCTGTTGCATGCAGTAACATAGTATAATTTTAGCGTGAGGAATACATGCCTTTGCACTCATTTGTGAATATGGATGTATGTAATCTTTGAATGTACTGTACCTTTATCAATCCCCTCCCTGACATGGGAGACGAGACTGTATGAGTGAAAAACTGTGCAAAGGTTAAAGATTAGCTGTGATTAAAACCTGCAGCCTTATCATTTAGCAGCTGATAACGATGGAAAAAAGAAGAACATGTCAGGATTCTGCTGCTGATCAAGGACAGAAGTTGGATTGGGGACACTGACACTCACCATGCCTGTGGGTCTGAGGTCCTGAAGCCTTTGGCAAATGGATTGCTTGCAATTTTCAACTGAGTAATCTAAAAGCATGAAGAAGATGAAACTCTAAATCCAAATATGTCAAATTTACTTCATACACAGCGAATGGCAGAATCTAAACATCTGTCTGTATACTAATGAACTTACCCTGTGGTTCTGATAGGCGGTGACGGCCATGAAACGTGTCTCAGGGAAGGAGAAAGAACAAAAGTTCCTGTATGCGTTTAAATGACTGTTTGGTGTTGGGTCCACATACACAACATGAAAGCGGGGCTGGTAGCGATGCATGGAGTTCAGAATCATCTTGCAAAAAGAAAGATAAAGAAAACAGAAAGAGAACATTTAAATTAACATTTTTGGTGATAATTCACCAAAAATATTCAGTAAAATAATGTAGTTTTCTTTTTATACTCCTAAGTGTTAATAAGCAGTAATAATAAATAAATAAAAAATCTACTGACATGTCCATTGTCATCTAGCAAGTTGTTGGTGAGCTTGAGAGAGTCAAATGACACTGTCTGCTTCATCCACTGAGATCCAGGGGCCGGTGAATCCGGGTGGAAATGCATCCTGCTCGGGGCTGCAACATCTGCTCTCCCTGCTACCAACCATGAGGAGCTGTGGAATGCATATCTGAAAAAAACATAACTGTTATTCTGAATATTGACAAGTAAAAACCAGTAGATCATGAAGCTCAGTTCAGTTCTTCAGTCAGATAATTTTCAGTAGAGAGGGGGAACATTATTATGCAATCAAATAAAAGCATTATTAAAAACACAGAGAGCATATTGGAATAAAAATGTCTTCAGCTACTTTTTTAAAATGAGTTAAGACTCTTAAGGAAGCAGCAACACATAGAAGGTTTGTCCCAGGCTAGAGGAGCAGCGGTCTGTGTATTAAATCAATATATTAAACCTAACCTGTATCTCTTGTCATCCACGGGGATGAAGTCCATGAGCAGAACATACTCGGCTGAAGGGTCCATCCCAGAGATTTTCACCTGAAATGTTGGAAACATCCTCCTACATTTTTTTTAAACATGAAAAACAACATAAAGTAAGAAAGAAGAAAAAAAAACGACACTATGCTTTGAGCAAGCAAATAAAAAATGTGTCTTTTTTTCACCTCCCAGATTTTGTAACTATCATTTCTGTGCCCAGCTGGTCAAACTGCCTCCAAAGTGCCTGCATCTCAAGCTGAACTCTGACCCCACAAACTTGGGGGGCTTTGGAGCTGAATAGCGGCCCTCCGTCTGTGCAGCCAGGCAGAGAAAACTCACAATTCTGAGAGAGCAGAAGACCTAAAGAGAGAAGACAATAAAATTCAACATACATAATATTTTTTCTCTAAACTCCTGTTTCCCCTTTCTCATTTATGCACTAAATTATCATTTTATCCTCTCAACAATTCAGTATCATAAAATGTCAAGTTTGAAAATACAAATTTCCTTTATTGGCTGAATATTTTTGTATTTGTATTTATGCCATGGTTACTAACAAATATTTAATCATAACTTGAGTTTCACCAAAGCTGCAAAAGCATCAGGTAGCAAAGGGGAGATAAAATGACCAGCACATATAATATCAATACTAGTTTGAGAAAAAACTCACCATTCATATTTCCAAGCATGAACCGACGAATTTAAGGAAAATGATGCCTTAATTCTTTTGTCTTTATTCGGTCCTTTAAGTTTCTCTAAATCTGACTCCAAAACACTGCAGTGTCTTTAAACCCCACCGTTTTGGTCTGCAGCATGAAGGCAACGCAGTAGTTCTTACCCCTGTACGTTTCAGAGGATGTGTAGATCCAGGTCCTCTGAGCGGCTGGTTTTAAATACCACAGAACCCTCACTGGGGACCTCCAAGCTGCCCCCATCCATTACAAAACTCATAGCAACACTGACACCAAATAATCAAAGCTGGACACACCTGCTTGCATCGGGCTGCGAGAACGGCAAAGACACAAGCGCATTTCTTTCAAAGGAAGCACAGATCTCAGTGTAGCCTGAAGCTTTGCTTGAATTAACGTTACGCACATTGATAACCCCCTGAACCGTTTGCTGTTAGAGAGTGTGGACAGATCAGGACAGAAACTCACTCTCTTTATTATTCATAGGGTCAGATTTTCAACAACATACTAATTAGCAGAGGTGGAAAGAGTCCAAAAAAATTGTAATTGAGTAACAGTATCTTTACTTTGCCTAAATTCTACTCAGAGTAAAAAAAAATTACCCATCTCAAAATTTACTCAAGTAAAACTACAAAATTACTTAATTTAAAATGTAATGTGAGTAAAAGTTACTTAGTTACTTTGAGTTATTTAATGCAAAAAAGAATTGACCACAAGGTGTTTTAATCGATTTCAAGGCGTATTTCAGTGGACATCCACACTTGCAAAAGATCAGCTGGGCTAAGGAACATACTTCCTCACAGCACAAGGACAGTCACAACCTGTACCATAAAGTGCAAACAATTTTCAATCCTATTGTCCAACAGACAACACCATGATAGGAATAAAGAAATTTAAACTACATTTTAAAGTTTTCAAAATGCACACAAAAATAAATGCTCAAAAGATACCAGAAATCAAACTAAAACGCAACAAGATGCCACTGTTATTAACAAGCTCCTCATTTAATGATTTTAACTGACACCTGTTTTACTTTAATAGTGATTTTTAACTGACACTTGTTTTTACATCAAATGTTTATATGTTTGAATTGTGTAAATAAAGTGCTGTTAAAAGTCAAAAGTCTTCTTCTATTTTTTAAGTGTCGGTTCCGTAACACAGGAGTTTAAATTTTCAGCTGCATTAAATTTTTTCACCATCAGTATTATTATTATTTTTTTTTTTTTACTCAGTAACGTGAGGGGGTTTTAAATGTAGCGAAGTAAAACCACTTAGGTTAAAATTTACTCGAGTAAAAGTAAAAATTACATATTTGAAAAACTACTCAGAAAAATTACAAATTACTCATACAAAGTACTCAATTACAGTAACGTGAGTAAATGTAATTCGTTACTTTCCACCCCTGCTAATTAGACACTCACTGCCTCCCATATGTAGGCTTTAAAGCAGGCATCCCCAAAGTCGGTCCTCGAGGCCCGCTGTCCTGCAGGTTTTAGAGATTTCCCTGCTCCTGCTGATTTTAATTGAAAGCTGATTAACAGGCTTTTGTTCAACAGCAATCGTCATAATCAGCTGTGCTAAAGCAGGGAAACCTCTCAAACCAGCAGGACAGCGGCCCTCGAGGACCAACTTTGTTGATGCCTGCTTTAAAGTTCTGCTAAAAGGTTCAACTCGAAAATACTTCTAAATAACCATTAATAGAAACCAATAGGTAATACTTGTATGACCGGAATGACATTATTCTGCTTGCAGTTTTTAGGAGCCTCCTGGTTGTGAACCGGTGCTCAGCCTCATTGGGGCCCCGTGATGGGACGTTGTTGATTGTTGGAGCCTGAGGGACCTAAAGCAGTAAAGACCTCTGCCTAATAAATCCCAGCATGGTTCCGGTTTGTCAATAGGCAGGTTCCCTCTCTGATCAACTCATTAATCACTGCCTTCAGTACTACAGGGATAAATATCTCATAAGCTGAATGACAGTTTTAAGTACAACTGATGGTTTTAATATTTCCCTTTTCAAGGGGTCTCTGTTATCACTGCTGACCTCTTGAAATCCTGATGTTTTTTTTTTTACTTTAAGAGACCATAGAGGTCAGCGTCTATTTTTTAACGCAGTGTCTCAAATACTTAACCCTTTAAAACCAATTGTTCCATATTTGATACATTCTTTTGAGACCTCTGCATCATCAGTGTGATCTTGCTGATCTTAAAAACCCTGACTTACACAATCAGAAACATGTCGTGAACAGAAAATGTATATAATATTCTACAGAAATGCCTAATGAATCAAAATGGATGCAAATAAGTGATCTAATTGAACTTTTCTTTCATTTTTCAGAGAGTTCAATGACAACTCTTAATAAAAAAAAAATAGAATTTTCTGTCAATTATTTCATGGTTCAGGATTTAAAGGGTTGAAAAAAATTTGACTCCAGAAAACACAATCATATAAACAGTCAGATGTTTATTTAAGCTGTATTTTTTTCTTCAGAGCACAGTTACAGCGATTTAAACCTGTGTAGTAATTCACACACAATTCATTCACGATATGTTAGCAGGTGACATGTGAGGACGGAGACATGAGCGCGATAGGTGCGTAGGAGTCTCTGTGTGCGTGCTTGCATGTGTGCATGAAGTTGCGTGCTTGGAGGGGAGGAAGGTCCGCCATTTTTGTTCATAACTTAGATACTACATTCACTTCTGAGGTGGTCTGTGTGCGCGTGGGCGGGAGGGGGCTTAGAGACAGCTTTCATGGAACTAGAACAGACAGGGAGGCGAGGTTAGTTTAAAGGAAGACGAAGAGGATTTAGTTTTTGTTGAAGGTTTCAGCGATGATTACACCCATGGCTTGGAACTTCTCCTTGATTTCATCTGCAAGAGGCTGCAGCTTCGCCCTCAGGTTGTGGATCTCGTCGGTGTTGACGTTCTGTGCGTGGCCAAAGGCCTGCTTCAGCTGCTCTTTGTATTCCTCCACGTATGGGGCAGCCAATGCCTTCAGGGCCTCCACGCGCTCGGTAAGCCTTGCACGCACAGCCTCAATAATGGGAATCAAGGCCTGTTTGGTCTCTTCCACGTTGGTGGCCACCTTCTGACGCAGCTCTTCCATAACGGGCTCCATCTTGGTCTTGAGAGCCTCCATCTCGGCGGTGTGCCTGGCATTGTATTCTTTGATGATGGGCTCCAACTGGACGCGGTACTCCTCCATGTGCTTGTCGAGGACCTCCCTCAGCTTGGCGCGCATGGGCTCGATCTCAGTTTTCAGAGCTTCGATGTCATTATGGATAGAAGTACGGAGGTCGGCAGTGGACTCAGCGATGGTGGTGACCACATTGTCGGTGTAAGGGGAAACCTGGGCCTGCATCTGCTTGACGTTGTTGTACATCTCTTCCAGGCGCTGACTGATGCGAGCCCTGGGAGAAAACAGAGGTTGAGGGGCACATGACTATATTACTGTAGCAGTAAATTAATCATGAACGAGGCATCAACCAATAACGGCTCAGTTTAAACAATAAGAATGCGCGTCGAAAGCGATTTCTTACTTCATTTCCTCATACTGAGTACCATCGAGCTGGTCCAGAGCTTTGATGGCACCATCCTTTGCCTGTGTCATGTAGACATCAATAGCAGACCGGATCTGGGCCAGCTGGGAGGGGGCATCAGCCTGCAGGGAAGCGGCCTGGGAGCCTAATGTGACGGTTGAGAAGAAAAATGTCAAACATGTACAACGGATTCCTGGATTCTGAAAAGATTGTTTCTTGAACTCACCGACTGCCAGGAGAACAGCAAGAGCAAGAGCCACGAATTTCATGGTGGTGGTCTGCGGTCAAAAAACAAACAGGATCGTAAAGACGAAGGGAGAAAACACACAAAGAAAAGTTGTAACGCTTCCATGAAATCGCTGATAAATCTTTTGCAGAGTTATCGTCTCAAAATTAGGAATCCATTACAAAACACTCCAAACTGGCCTAAATTAGCTGGCAGCGAACATTATGGTTGCCTGTTGGGAGAAGGTATAATCTGAGCAGATTAGCAAAGCAGTTTAAGACGATAAAATCCGAACAGTTTCATAATCTTGTTTTAGGGTTTAGCAAGTCAGCTGTCCGGGTTGGAAGACGTTCTCAATCCTGAAGCAAATAGGTTTAAAGACATCTTTAAATGTAGATACCAGCTCAAGCCATGCAGTTTCTAACCTGATGCTACAATCAAAAAGAAGGAAATATCCCAAATCTACCATTAAAAAAAAAAGACTTAAACTTTTTCCAGAACTGTATACCTAAGCCACTCATTCAAAAGTTGAGAATAGAAACTCTAAGAAAGTTTTAAAACTTTCTGAAAGGTCTTTTTTTCCCCCAGAAAACTCCAGCAAATTCCAGTTCCTGTCCCAGCTGCTGCTTGCCTTACCTGATGGAGTTGGTGACGAGACTGAGCGAGTCCAGCCGGAGCAGACTTTTTATAGAGCCCGGATCAGGGGTGAGTCCTGTGTGAAGGAGGGGGGGGAGGAGAAGGAGGAGTGGAGTAGTGTTGGCTGCGTGTCTCCGTGGAGGTGGACCTCACCCCCAAGCCGTCTTCCTCAGCAGGGGGATCGGGTTGAGAGTTCAACGGTCACCTGCTGCGAGGAGATCAGGCATCACACGCTGGAACACACGTCAACAGATCTGGCAAGAAAAAAAAAGCCCTGTAAACGGCCTGGTATCACGATTACAGTGTTTGTTCCTGCAGTCAGATCCTTCCAAGAATGTTTTCCTTTCCTTTTTCTCTTGATTTCTCTTTTCTTCAAGGCATTCCATGAAAGCAACAGACAAAGCCAAGAAGCTCCAGGAATCAAGGAGGAAATGTGACTTTTATCCACTTTAATCATATCTCTATATATTTTTTCACTAAATCAATGCAAGCAGAAAAGCTGACTGAAGGTATTTGCAACTGCGTATTATTTTAACTCATTTTTCTTTCAAAACTGCTGCCAAGAAAAACAACAGTGAGCACACAGAACTAATGGACTTGATGCAAACAGCTCTCTGGAGTGCAAAGGCTTTAAATCAAAAGCTCCTGAATGGAGAAGCCAAACAAACACATATCATCCCACTTTAAAAAACAGGCAGTTTAATCCAGAGCTGCAGAAAGCATCGTAATACAATTATAAAAGTTTTCAGATTTAAGAATTTGCCATTGGTTTGTTTGTGTGTGTGTCGGTATTTGGGTGTGTGCGTGCGTGTGCGCGATGATTGATAGGTCAAAGAGTTATGTGCTCTGGCCTGTTGTTTGTTGTCCTATCACCAATGGACTTTGTCACCATGGCTTCATGTGATTTCAGGATTTGGAGCAATTGCTTATATAATTCCTCATATACTGTATATGTGTGCAACGCATTCTAATGAACCTATCCTTCTGAGGCTTCAAAATATGTCAATTAAAACAAATAATCAATGAAGAGTTGGTTAAAACGTCTGCAAGAATGCTTCAAACATAGGACTATTGTGGAAGCTATGGTGTCAGCAGGGTCACCAGGTGCAGGAATAATCATTGGAAGTACTGGAACCACTTTTCTTGCATAATATCAGCACTGAATGGGCGATGCATGTCTGTTAATGTTACTTTTAAATAATTTTACCTTATAGTTTCTCCCTCTGTTCTGTTGCAACATCACCTCAGCATGTCTTATGCAATGCTGATGATGGAATAAGGCAAAGTCAAACAAATAATCCCTGTTAAAAACAGCAAATGTGTTGAAATTAGGCCTCTAACAGCTCCAAACATGGTTGTTTTGCAGGAGGCCAACGAGGCTAACAAAACTACTTTACATTTATAATATATCTAAACCACTATTTTGTGCAAAAATGACAAAAACTCAACAAAAGCTGAACAATGCTGGTTGGAATAAGACTTTCAATATTTTGATTTAAAAATGTTGATGGCTTATTTTTGGGGAACCTGAGTGTTTAATTAAACTGTGTTTAATTGTGAGAAGGAGAAGCTTTCATAGCTGTACTGTGGAAGTTTTTTGGTGGCTCAACTATTTTTTTTTTCTGATGTGCACTAACAGAAATATTTCACCCAAATTCTAAGATTTATGTAAATGTATTAAACAACAAATTCCCATTTACTTTTTTTAGCATAATATTAACATATCAATAAATCTTACATGATCCATGTTCATTTTTGTAATAAAGCTTATTTGTTCAAAATACAAAATTATCTGGTTTATCTATTCAGTAAAAAATAGGTATACTTAATCAGAATTAATACTAATTAGAGCATTTATTTCAAATACATAAAGTTTTATTGTCTGAATTTCATAAAGGTAACCTGATTATTATGTAATTCAAACAAATAAACTTCACATATTTAAAATAAATACACTCATTGGTAATAATTATCAAAACACAAATCCGATTGTTATGTATTTAAAATAAATACGTTATTCAAGTTTAATTATTAGTATGCACCATATAATGTTTATTTAATGGATTTATTGATGTGATTAATTTAGCTTGAAAATGAAATTAAATTAAATGGGTTTTTGCAATGTAATAAAATTCCATAAATACAAAAAAGTGACATTTTTTTTGTGAATCTGGCAATAATCCACACTGATCAAACCTTTTTCTCCCCAAATTTATTAGTAGACATTTTTTTTTGTTCTTCTAGTCAGCTAATTTGTTAGCATATAATGCTAACACCTAATTTAAAGTCTCATTAGCTTTGCCAGGCACATAGTCTGATCTCCTTATTCTCTCTCTTCCCCTGATTGCATTATTGAGCAGACATTTTATTCAGTTAAAGCTCAACTTGATTATCAGACCAACAAATAAACCCCCATCCCTGATAAAATGGGGACAGGCATTAAGAATTAGCCTTAGCTAAAATGTTGTAGTGTGTGACATGATGCATGGAACATACTTGTCCCTATCAAATAAACGAATAA